ACCATGGCAATAAATGATGAAGTGAAGGAAGACCAAGTTCACCACTCTACGACAAGAGTTCCACAAGTGAAACATTTCTTCTGAGACTTAAATGAATCAAAGAAAATGCAAAGATACAAATTGATCAGATGATTCTGTAGAAATGCAAGCTTGACAGCATAAGTTTCTATACTGATATCCAGAGGTAACCATGGCAATAAATGATGAAGTGAAGGAAGACCAAGTTCACCACTTTGAAGTCAAATGAAGATTGCATCAACATTCATGCATTCATAAGAATATCATTTACACAATAGACAATGCATTTCATTGATACATCTGAGTGCATTCAAACATAAAGTTTTACAGATCTTCAGAAGAACAAGAAGATTCATGGTAAAAAAATACCTTACACAAAGAAGGTATTCAAAACCACAAATACAGGAATCATGCAAACATCTGAAGAAGAGATGGACGCAATCCACAAAAATGAGCATTATCTTCAGATTGGGTCATGTTACCCAATCAACATGTTATTTCAAAAAAACATAATGAGAAAACGATTTTCATAGTTTCTCATTTTATCTTTTCTAAAATGAAATTGTTGAAAAGTAAGAAAACGATTTTCTTAGTTTTTTTTACTTAGTAAACTATTTCCAACAGCCTTATCTTGAAATTAGGGCATGTTACCCAATCAACATGTTATTTTGAAAAATAATGAGAAAACGATTTCCATAGTTTCTCATTCAATCTTTTCTAAAAATGAAATTGTTGAAAAGTAAGAAAAACGATTTCCTTAGTTTTTACTTAATAAACTATTTCCACATCTGTGAGTCCTGCAGTGATGATGTTTCCAAAAAGCCTTTGGGAGCTTTTTGATGTTTTCAAAGCCTTAGGGTCATCTGTAAGTCCTGCAGTGCATGATGTTTCCAAAAAGCCTTCGGGAGCTTTTTGATGTTTTAAAAGCCTTAGGGTCATCTGTAAGTCCTGCAGTGCATGATGTTTTCAAAAAGCCTTCAGGAGCTTTTGATGTTTTCAAAGCCTTAGGGTCATCTGTAAGTCCTGCAGTGCATGATGTTTCCAAAAAGCCTTCGGGAGCTTTTTGATGTTTTCAAAGCCTTAAGGTCATCTGTAAGTCCTGCAGTGCATGATGTTTCCAAAAAGCCTTTAGGAGCTTTTTGATGTTTTCAAAGCCTTAGGGTCATCTGTAAGTCCTGCAGTGCATGATGTTTCCAAAAAGCCTTCGGGAGCTTTTTGATGTTTTCAAAGCCTTAGGGTCATCTGTAAGTCCTACAGTGCATGATGTTTCCAAAAAGCCTTCGGGAGCTTTTGATGTTTTCAAAGCCTTAGGGTATCTGTAAGTCCTACAGTGCATGATGTTTCCAAAAAGCCTTTGGGAGCTTTTTGATGTTTTCAAAGCCTTAGGGTCATCTGTAAGTCCTGCAGTGCATGATGTTTCCAAAAAGCCTTCGGGAGCTTTTTGATGTTTTCAAAGCCTTAGGGTCATCTGTAAGCCCTTCAGTGCATGATGTTTTTAAGACCTCTGGAATGATGTTTTCAACATTTAAGTCTTACTCAAAAGAAGTCAAATGAAAAATTATTGTTTTTTGTCTTTGCTCTATTCTGTTAACACAAGAATGAGCAAAGAGGGGCAGCTGTAAACACTAATTTTTCGTTATTATTATTAAAATTATTATATATTATAAATTATTATTAATATAATAATATTATATTATTATTAAATATATATATATATATTACAAATTACATCAGAAGCCCAACAAAAAAGCCCAGATCCTGAAGCCCAAGTGGAGACCCAACAGTAACCCTAAACTCTAAGGTTTCTTGCATCTTCATCCTAGCCGCCTCAATCTCAGCCGTTGGATCTGGCTAGATTCAACGGTCCAAATCTCTCCAACAAGAAACCCTAGGGTTATGATACCCTAAGGACCACGCGGTGCCGCCTCAACCTCCAGCCGCCCCACGTCGACGTCTCAGCCAGCTGCCACGCCTCCACGAAGCCACCTTCAACCGAAGCCTCCAGAAGCACCTCGTTTCTGCCCCACGTTGAAACCCTATGGTGAGTCACCACCATAGTCCAGTGACTCACCTAGGGTCACCATTTGAGACCGGTTCGAGAGATACACCGTCGATGGCTATAAAAGCCATCGACCACCTACAAAAAAAAAAGACAACAACAACGGCAACGCACAAAGAAAGAGAACCCACTACAAGCAGGGAACCAAAATAGAAAACAAAGAAAGAAGAAAGAAACTTACTCTTGGAGCCTTGACCATCGCTGGAAGCACTAAACATCGCCGGAGAACAGAAAATACCGAAGGTATTTTCATAGATCTACTCCGACTAGGAGTCTTTTTGGGGAAACAAAGGTCGGACTCGACTTTGGGGAAATTAGGGCTGTATTTTAGTGTAAAAAAAAATTTTCCGGCCACCGAAGGCGGTGGCCGGCGGTAGAGTTAGCGGCGGCAGACGACTGGTGGCCGGCCTTCCTCCGGTTGGAGGAATCTATAGAGAGGCGAGAGAGAAATCTCTCTCTCAGTTTAAGAGAGAGAAGAGGAAAGCAGAAATGAGGAAGCTTGGCCCTTCGGGCCAAGCGTTTAGGGTATTTATACCCCTTCCCAAACGACGCCGTTTTGGGGAGGGGTATCTGTGTAATTTCATAACAGTAAAACCCTTTCTGCAGCCCCTTTAATTTTGTAATCTTTACAAAACAATCATTACAAGTTATTTTTATTTATTTTAATTTGGTATTCAAATTTTAATATATTATGTTTTAGTCCTTTCCAGTATAATTACATACTTTAGGGCAAATAACTGATTTAGTCCCTTATTATTTAATTAATATTTATTTTAATCCTGTATAATTATATAGGTTAAATTACATTGTTAATATTTATGTTTTATAATATTTCGAATTGGATTTCTTAATTTTAATAATTGATATTTTAATCATTGATTAATAATTATATATGTAAATTATTAATTTCATTATTATATTAATTATATATATATATATATATTGGTTTAAATAATAATATTTATTTTTAATATCAAAGAAAATGGCAGTCTTAAAGCAACTAGATGTCCTATTCTGATATGTTAAAAATAAATAAATATCTTATTTATAAAAATCAGAAAACACATATTGTAAAAAAGAATTATTATTTTTAAATTAAGAAATGGCAGTCTTAAAGCAACTGGATGTCCATTTTCTGATATTTTTAAATAAATATTTTACTTTTATCAATAATATATATTATCTAATTTTATTATTTTTAAATAAATATTTTATCAATATTTATTTATTTATTTATTTATATCAAAGAAAAGAGCTGTCTTAAGGCACCTAGAAGTCATTTTCTGATATTTCTAAATAAATAAATATTTTTATAAATATATTTAAATTAATATATTTTCTTAAAAATTATAGTAATAAAATTTGAAATAACATAATTATAAATTAAATATATTTGAATTCTTAAAATTCTATTATTAGAGACAATTTATAATTAAAAAGTACCAATTTTGGGCGTTGTAAGGATGCTAATCATTCCCTAAACGTAACCGACCACGAACCCCTTTTATTAATAAAAAGAACGAATTTTGGTTATAAACGCGGATCAGTTCATCTTTACTGATGTTTTCTTAAAAACTCTTTTAAAAGATAATTTTTAGGTATTCGACCTACCTAACCAAAAGGCCGATGGCGACTCCCAAATTATTTATTATTAACATCACTTTTCCCGTCAAGTAAAAAATCCGTGCCCGGACGAAAACCGGTTACGGACTACGGTGTTTCCCTACTGAGGACTCTTCAGCCTGTCATGAGCAGGACCATTATATTGGTCAGAACCAGTACTCCGAACCTTACCATAATGAGGACTTTCTCGTCTGAGGTATGCAGTAACAGGTGGTGTGAAAGTGATAACAGTGGAAAACGTGTGAAAACTAACCAAAAATAGTTTAAGGTGAAAGGGAACAGAGGGCATACTTCAAGGATGATTTTACAATTAAGCCTAAAGATACAATTTAATTGCTTTCATACCCATTAAAACTCAAAGCTGCCAACTTTTAATGGAGTAACTCAGAATGAACAACAGAGCTCACCTGTCACAACTAAAAGGAAGACTATCGAGTCTGCAAATAGCATCTACGACATCATATTCATCCTCAAAATATGCAAAAACAAACCCTGCAACATAAATTGAAATCAGCGGTACAAATGACAATTTGTACCATTGGTACTATACCCATGCAACTAGGTGTACATCAGCTATCTCACGGGATTTCTTTTGGGTATGAACTAAGAAAAATGTACAGCAGCATATATATAGTCCACATAATGATATGTAGAAGCGTTGCATGATAAACTGAATCAAGATGGTGGTGTATTAAAGGTTAAAATCCAAGTTTTCCAGTGTTAAAACCAAAGTCTGCCATATACAGGGATGAGCATTGAGCAGGAACTTGGGAAACTCATAACATTCAATTCTCTGCTTAATTTGAAGTCGTCACCAATTCACTAACTTGGTATTACTATTTATTCAGTTGCATGCATCATAAGTTTTCGTTTATATCAACCAAAATCATAGTTTTACAGATTCCATTTATATTTTGAGTCAGCAGATGCTGCAGATCTCTGAAACAGTCGACAAAAGAATTAAGAAATGCTTAGTGAATAAAATAATTATTTGTAAAGATCTAATATAGTTATTATTAATTGTAACCAACAAGGTCTCGTGGTGTAGTTGGTTTTAAACGTCAGTTTAACACAATGAAAGTCTGCGGTCCGAGTCCGGGCGATGCCAATTTTTCTCCTTTGTTGGCACAGCATCTTTCTCTGAGTTTTCTGCTTATATACCATTTTTTTCCTGGAAACAGAAAATCAATGCTTATTGCGTGTAGGGTGCTTTTGAGAGTTTACTTCCAGTTGGATCTCTTGTTTCAATGGATGAACCTTGTAGGCAACTGTTGCTTTCAAGACAATCCGAGATGAGTTGAAAGAGATGAAATTGTTGCAATGACCGGAGATGGTGTGAACGATGCACCTGCCCTCAAAAAGGCCGACATTGGAATTGCCATGGGCATAACTGGAACCGAGGTAAATATATCCCTTATTTCTTATGAAGGTTCGTTCTTGTGGCCTTTCAGATTCAAGATGTTCATCGTTCAATTTTCCAGGTTGCTAAAGAAGCTTCCGATATGGTTTTGGCAGATGACAACTTTAGCACCATTGTTTCAGTCGCAGAGGGTCGTTCGATTTATAGCAAAATGAAAGCTTTCATAAGGTATGCTAATCAGCTCTACTAGTTTCCTTTAAGCAATTTAAGAGATGCCTTATTTATTCATATCCCAAATTCACAGGTACATGATATCACCAAATGTTGGAGAAGTAATATCTATATATATTTTTTTCCACTGCATAATATTTCTTAACTGCTTATCTTATAGATATAACTACTCGAATCTAGATCCTCTGAAAAGAATATTATCTTTTATGGGTTCCAAATTTATTCATTAAAATTAACAAAATGATGCATTTTAACTCTCTTATCTTCTCTGGTTGTCAAGCTTAATGCAATATTTGGTCCAGTGAACTTCAAATGTACAATGGCCCCTACAGTCTACAACAACATTGACCATTGTTTCAGGATCTTGGTCTCTTTATTTTCCTGTACATTAGCCCTTTTTCATTCACCTTCAAGCCTTACATGCGAGCATAACGATTTCACTTTAAAGGGAAGAAATGCAATTAATTTGATTTTTAAGCGATTGAAAGAAAGAACATTAGTGTCAGTGGCAACAGAAAGAGGGTCTTTTCCTTCATTTAGTTCTTGGGGAAGCCACTGTGCTCAAGTTTTTGTCGGTGCAAAAAGAAAATGGCAATGCTACCAGATGGACCATGCATGTAGCCCACGACAGAATCTAATAAAATGAAACCCAATCCATTAATGTTTCAAAATATTTCAAGACAATAACCTCCCTTTGTACATAGAATGTATTAAATTAGGGTGGGTGATCTGCTGCTGTGCCTAGCGTTGATCACCAGGCCTGGTTTTTTTTTTCAGGCTCCTTTGATAATCCAAATTACTTTAAATCATCAAAAGTTAAGGTCATCAGGGAACAAAACAAACCCTTTTTTTGCATCAATTAACTTTTGCAAAAGCACTTTCAAGAACAACTAGCTTTCATCCGGAGATGGTGCCGGGAATTATGAGATCATTGTTGTGTCTGTGTGTAGAATTAAGTTTCACTTTTAACACGTCCCAATACAACCATTAAACCAAAATAAAGTGTTTCTAATTTATGCTTTTCCCTATCTTTGAAAGTAAATTAATGAAAATAAGAAATGGTACACACATGATAAAGCATGAATAGAGAGACAAGGACAGGACCGTTTTGCCATAACTTCCTTTCCTTTCCCGTCCTTTTCAACGACGGGTGTGACTACAACCCTTGAAACTACAGTCTTGTCTCATACCATCTTTTCCATATTTTGTGTACTTACTCTCACCCCACTGAAGCTTCCTATTTAATTATCACACTAGCATCACTGGCAAACTGCAAACAGAATAGGAAAAAAAGAAGAAGGGGTCTGCGACAAAATTGAAGCTTTCTTTTTCATCAGTGAAAATGAATGAAGAGATGAACGGTGTCGAGGTGGAGAATGAGCAAGAAAATGTTGCTGAGAAGATAGATTATGTGTATAAGGTAGTGGTGATCGGTGATTCGGCAGTTGGGAAGACTCGGATTCTGTCGAGGTTTACAAAGAATGAGTTTTGCTTTGATTCCAAGTCCACCATTGGTGTCGAGTTCCAGACCAGGACTGTTACCATTAAGAACAAACTCGTCAAAGCCCAGATCTGGGACGCAGCTGGCCAAGAAAGGTTAGCCCCTTCCCCCTGTAACTCAGATTTCTTTAAATTCAAATCATTTTCCTATGACAAAATTTCATCAATTTCTGTCACTTTTGAAGTAAACAAAAACACGGGGAAAAAAACATGTGGTATTTCATCATCGTGAATGTTAGGTGAAAAATATCAAAACTAAGATCACTTGAGGCAGTAGGTGGATAAAAGAATGTTGCATGTTAAAGATTAAAATCTATAGAGAAAATAACCTCAGTGACCAAAAATGTCTTATAATATACGATTTTAACTAATTTTTTTTGGATTTGCCAAAATGATCAACTAAATCGTAATGCGATCGATAATTCGCAACGCGATCTCCGATATCGCAAATCAATTTCCAGATTCGCAACAGGATTTTGACTATCGCATTGCGATTTCCCAAATTCGCGTTGCGATTTCCCAAATTCGCGTTGCGATTTCCCAAATTCGCGTTGCGATTTTCCTAATTCGCAATGCGAATACGTAAATCGCAACGCGAATTTGGAAAATCGCAATGCGAATACGTAAATCACAATGTGAATACGTAAATCGCAATGTGAATACATAAATCGCAATGCGAATATGTAAATCGCAACGCGAATCTGACTATCGCAACGAGATTCTGACTATCGCAATACTGAATTTTAAATTCGCAACTCGATTTCTGAATTCGCAATAGGTTTTAGCTTCGCAACACAAATATTTTTTGTATTGAATATCATTTATTATAATATAATTATGCGTATTAATTAGATTAATATCATATTATAATGAAGGTACCGAGCAGTGACAAGTGCGCACTGTAGAGGTGCGTTGGGGGCAATGCTGGTGTACGACATTACCAAGCGGCAGACCTTCGATCACGTTGCGAGATGGGTGGAGGAGCTACGAGCTCACGCCGACAACTCTATCGTCATCATGCTAATCGGGAACAAAGCTGATCTAGTGGACCACAGGGTGGTTCCGACCGAAGACGCGGTTGAGTTCGCGGAGGATCAGGGCTTGTTCTTTGCCGAGACATCCGCACATAGCGGTGACAACGTGGATAAAGCCTTTTTCAAGCTGCTCGAAGAAATTCACGGCTTGCTCTTTAGAAAACAATTGGAGTGTGGCAACGGTGTTGATCACGCCACGGCATTGAAAGGATCAAAGATTGAGGTGATCGTCGGTCCTGATTTAGAAATAAGTGAGATGAAGAAATTATCCACGTGCTCTTGTTAAATTCCTTTTTTTTCCTCTCAAATCAAGAGAATGTTTGGTCTTTTACTTTTTGACCCTTGTTTTACTTCATAATTTCTTTTGTGCTTTAATGGTTGCTCATTATAAAGTTTACATTATTTATTAATATATATGTTATTTTATCACTAAAATTTTAAATTTATATAAAAAAAAAAGATAAAAGAAGTTTCCATCTATGATCTATCATTACATAAATTATGTATGACTGTAGTCGTGCCATTTAATTTACCTTTTAATTTAATATATTATTTTAATATGGACAGCTAGGAAGCTAGAATGTTAATTATAAGATCCCAAACTTTTCTCTTTTCTTATTTCTAATAATACTTTCAATTTTAATCAAAAAGGTATATTAATATTTTAAAATTATTATATATATTTTTTAAAAATTAATATTTTTTATTTCAATTTTTTTCGTCTCTTAGTAGACTAACGAGGACAGATGCCCGGTTCATTTGCCCCCCTAACTTTTTATAATTGAAACTACTCAAATTTGATTTTAATACTTTATTATTCTGCTATCTGATCACATGCAAATGCTAATATCATATACATTATGTTTAGGTATGTACACGCTGTACCAACCAACCAACCAACCAAGTGTACATTTTGAAGACATGTTTAAAAGAAACTTAATTATATAATAAATTTAAATTAGTAACTTTATTTATACTTTTAATTAAATTAGTTTTATTTCCAAACCCATTAGTTATATTAATTCGATTTTTAATCGACATTAATCGTTACAATGTATTGATTTACTGTGTCGACGTGACAATCTATGCGTAAATGATTACATGTCATAAGAATCTAATTATGTTTTGATTGATTTTGAAATCATAATTGATTTTAATTGAAAGTTTGAAGGCTTATTTATTCTTTAAATAATAAATTAAAATTTTATTAAAATTTTAAAATTTTTAAAAATATATTAAAATAATCATAAAATATCACTGAAAATATATTCAAATGATAATTTAATTTTATTGTTATTCTAATACAAAATTATTTTAATTGAAAATATGTTCAAGTAATAGTACAAGACTCACATTGACGAGAGACGCTCGCAGAGTTTCTGATGAAAGTGTTTAATTTTTTAATGATTTATAAAATTTATTTTTTATATTCATTATAACTTTTAATATAGTTTTTAAATTTTTTTATTATATTCATTATAACTTTTATTATGATTTTTATAATATTTTAATATTTTTAAGATGCTAATAGTTTTTAAAATCATATGAATTGTGGTGAGATTATTTTGTAGTATATATAAAAGTAATCTGCCTAGTTGAGCTGTAGCATACAGTTTGTGATTGTGTAATTAGTAGTGAACGTGGGCATAATCATTATTGAGGCAAACTAATTATGCAAGGCATAGGCAGCAGCGGCGAGGTACATATAGTGGGGACAACACCAGTGTAGCAAATGTAATTAGTATTGGTATTCATTCTACCCAAAATCATTGCTAAGAAAATGATGTATATTTTGCTAGTTGGAATGGGGAAGGTTTGACATTTCGAATGGACCAAATACTTTTCGTTTACAAATAGTTTCGATTTGGTTTTTCTAATTATATATCGTTAAGATTTGGAAATAAAAATTATTGATAATCTTTTGGTGATTCGGGTGAGTAAAAACTCCAACAAGTAGAGACAAACCCTGGGAGGCTCAATCACATCAAGGCCAATAATGAGCGAAGAGAATTGGTAGCCAGCCATATACAGCTAAAACAGGGGAAACACAGAGCAAATATAGACCGTGATTAAGTGGTATCAGGCCTCTGGTCAACCTGTAAATGGCTGTACTGGTTTGCAAGTTTCCTATCTTTTTTGCCCAACCTTCTCTCACCTCAAACTCATAACTCATTGTTGAATGTACGTACAAAAATAAGATAACGAAGGAAAAAAGCTTGAAAAAACAAGATATCAGCTCGCAAAATAGATGATCATATCTTTTTAAAAATTTGATAATTCAATTTCTTTTAATATCTGATTCTATTTTTTTTCCAAATTACAATATGTACACACCGTCGTACCAAAATTCCAAAGAAGTTCACTTTGGTCAGAAGTTGAATTTCATTAGCACTTACTTAAAACTTTGGAAAATCTTGAAAAAAATGGGATGATAAAATATACTTTTTTCCCGTTTAACAGAATTAGATACTAATTCTGCAATTCAAGTAACAAAAATTCTAGCTGAAATCCAATGAAACTACAAGGCTAAGCTTCAAATAAACAGTGACCAGCGTTCATCGGCACCCCTCGTTTTGGCGACTAATAAGATCGGACGACTGAGATTGTCTGCATCTTTTCACCCTCAACAAACCGTACAATTTCTTGAACTCCTCCGCATTTATAGCTTCTTTATAAAAAGTGCCACTCGGCTCACCGTTTTCCTCAACTGACCGTCGTCCGATATTCGAAGCCGCCCTCCCGTCACCGTCCGTTTGCAATGCGTTGATAACGGTTTTCAGAGCCCGGCTCGGTGAATTCCGATTGGCGATCATTAACTCGCTAATCTCAGCCGGGCTTAAACTCGCCCCGTTTTGGAAAATCTCCTCTACTTGCTGGAACAGCTTGTGATCCTTGAGCCCTAGATAACTATTGGCCAGCGTTTTAAAAGAAGAGAAATTACATAATGGAAAATGCAAATGAACATCAATCCTTCCCGGTCTAAGAATCGCCGGGTCAACGTGGTCTTTGCCGTTCATCGTGAAGACCATGACTCTTTCTTCGCCGCAGCTGGAGGTTAAAATCCCATCCATGAGACTTAAAATCCCCGATAAACTCACGGCCGTCGATTTCTCCGTCAAATACCGGTCGAGATCCTCGATAACGATAAGCGATTTGGTTGAGCTTTGTAACAAGAGAAATTTAAGTTCGGAATCATCAGAAACTTTGGACAAATCAATGTCGTAAACATCGTAACTCAAGAAATTAGCCATGGCAGCAATAAAGCTTGATTTCCCAGTACCTGAAGGACCGTAAAGGAGGTAGCTCCGTTTCCATACCCGACCCAACCGATGATAATACTGTTTGGCCTTCACGAAAGAGGAGAGATCGGATTTGACTTTGTTTTTAAGGTCCGATTCCAAGGCTAGAGTTTCAAACGACGAAGGATGCGTGAAAGGTACGGATCTCCACCGTCCCTTTCGATCATCGTGATTGTCGACTACGTTCACGTAAAGCTTCAATTCCCGGTTCTTCTCATCGATTTCATCCGAAACCGTGTGGATGTGTTGGAGATAAGGCCGCAGAACTCTTCGTTTATCGGCTTTTCGAATCTTTAAAACCAAAAATTTCTCTTCATTAATCCAGAAAATCTTGGCACCCAAAAACTCGTCCACGATTATTTGGCTTGGGTCGAGACGGAGGATGATTTCATTCGGTTTTTTTCCGGTAAAGAGGTTGGTGAAATCGGAATCTTCGATGGAAGTGAGGGAATTCAGATAAACCAGAACTTTGTGATAAAGTTTGTTTCTCTGCATGCTTTCATTGAATTCTGGGACTCTGAAGAACTGGTAGACAAGGAAGCAATCTTCAATGGAAAGCCATTTTTTCTTGACAAAATAAATCAACCCGGTTTTGATCAAAACAACCCGGAAAAGGAAAAGGAAACTGTAAGTAAGCAACAAGGAAAAAATTAGAAAAAATAGATTATAAACAATCATCATTGTTTTAACGTTTTCAACAATATAAGGCTAGAAACCTAAAGATGGGGATTTAAAGGGGAAATTTTCATTTTGTAGGAAAGAATGAATATATATATATATATATATATATTGGGAAAGACGGTTTAAGGAAAATTAAAGGAATGGGGTAATTTAAGAGCGGGCGAGGGGGTCACTGGTCAATTTATGTAAATAACATTTTTGGTCGTGATCAATTTACCTATTACCATGTTTCATGGGTCAAAACTAAAAAAATTACTAATTTATTTTAATCCACGAGTCTATTAATTTATTTTTAAAATATTATAATTTATATAAATAACATTTTGATTTTTTTGTTCATACATATGTTTTTGATTAAATTATATACATTGGGGTCATCGTTTGTTTTGCTAATGATCGGTCATAACGAGGAGTAAGAGTCGAACTACATTAGTTTGGCTTATCGCTACACGATTTGGCCACGGAACACAAGCAATAATAAAACATTACTACAAATTTTGAATTAGAGCATGAAATTGAGAATATGATATATCCACCACCTCCCTAGGGTTGTAAAAAGTTGACCCGACCTGTAAAATTGACTGAAATCGACTCGAGTCAAAATTGTTTTTGATTTGTACTGTGGCGATCCGAAACCGACTCGAGTCGGAACTGGTGTTGACCTGAACCCGATTTGGACCTGGAAATTGTGGATCCGAACCCGACCTGCATCCGACCTGAGATTGACCTGAACCCGAATTGAACCGAAAATATGATACACGAACCCGAACTGCATCCGACTGATATGAACCCGAACTCGAGATTGACCTGGTAAATAACTGGTATTACCCGACCTGTTTTCAACCTGACCTGTTTTCAACCTAACATGCTTTTAACCTGACCTGTAAATGATCCGACTTGTTAATGACCTGATCTGATAATTATCTAACTTATATATTACCATTGAAATATTATAAATTATCAGTTTTTTTAACTTATGTTGTAATTAAAATATTAATATGATTACTTTTTAAATGTTATAATAAAATATTTATTATGATAATTATATTAATAAATAGACTTATTATATAAAATTATTTAATAAAATTAATAAAATTATTTAAATGTAAATTAGATAAAACATTATTAATAATGCAAAGGAAAATTAATATAGTTTAATTTATATAAAGAAAAAATAATATTAATAATAAAAGTATTTATTATGTAATATATATTAATGGTTAAATTAATAATATAAATAATTTTGGCAATAAAATAATAATTAATTTGATCATAAATGAATATTAGTATTAAACGTGATTAATTCTCTAAAATATAAATATAAATTATACCGTTTAATTTTTGTACAAAAAATTATCTAACAATTATAACATAAATGAAAAATAATATAAA